AGGGTCTAGGCCCGAAACGTCAGCCTTCCTGCTCCTATGATGCTGCTTGGCCTGCTGTGTTCATCCAGCTCTCCACCTCGTTATCTCAGATTCTCCAGCATCTGCAGTTCCTACTATCTCTGAATCAAATATAAATTTGTTCGTAATACCACAGCGCAGTCAGAGTCATACAGTATGAAACTGACCCTTCAGTCCAACTCATCCATGCTAACTAGGTTTCCCAAACTAGTCCCATTTGCCTGTGTTTGGCCCATAACCCTCTAAACTATTCCTATTCGTGTACCTGTCCAAACGTCTTTTATTCACCAGACCTAAAACGTTAACCGATTTCTCTTCACAGATGCTACCAGACCTGCTGAGCTTTTCCAGCAACTTCTGTTTTTGTTACATTCAACAGATTTAGCCTTAGTCAATAATGTCAGAGAAGCCAAAACGACATAAAGCCACTGGAAAAAAGGGAATCTCTCTTGGAAAGGCATAACTCTAAGGTTTTGGAGTAGATTTGTAGCTCGGGTTGTGGGTGTTGAAACGAAACATCTGCGAAACAAGAAACCAGCTTGGTGAGCCAACCAACCTCAAGGCATAACTGTGGATTCCCCATAAGATTATCAAAACAGGTTGCTTATTCCAACCAAAGAATTCAGCACATGCATGAATAAGGGACAATATAGCCCAAACTGGAAGTACAGTAATTCAAAATCACTCTTCGCTCTCACCTCATCAAGTTTGGCACGAGTTTCATTCAGTTCCTGATTATAGATAGTATACTCAAGTGCTCTTCTCATCTTATCCCATTTCTGGTACTGTGCCAATTCTTCCTTCTCATCTTCCAGGGTATGTAGACGTTCCTCAATGTATTTCAACAATTCGTTAATCTTTTCCCTCTTTCCCTCTGCAAAATACACAGAAAATGACATTGGATAAACAAGATATTTATAAAGTAATGCAAAACACTGGGTCTAAAATTCATGATCAAGACGATCAAAATCCTCGACCTCCTTCCTGACTGCACTGTGGGTGTACTTACCCATCATGGATTACAACAGGCAAAGGCATGTCACCACCACCTTCTCAAGGACAATTAGGATGGGCAATAAACACTGGCTAAGCCAACAGAACCCACATTCCTTGAATGTAAAGAAACATCAGTTTTGCCTTTTGGGCTCCATATCAGCTCTGGTCACTGTCGTCAGGCATAATGCAAACTTTTCTTGAAGACAACATGCCACTAAGAAAGATAACAGCTCATGTTGCTAAGGGCAAGTACTGGCATGGATAGAGGACTGGCTGACTGGCAGAAGGCAGTGAATGGGGATAAAAGGGTAATGTTCAGGATAGCATCTCGTGATACCATGGGCTTTTATCTTAATTAGCAGCCTTTTGTGCGACACTTTCACAAAAGTAGTCTTCTGGAAATCCAAACAGATCACGTCTACTGGCTCTCCTTTGTCTAACTCGCTTGTTACCCACCCCCTCAACAGATTTGTCAGGTATGATCTCCCTTTGGCGAAGCTGTGCTGATCCAGCCCTATTTCACCGTGCACTTCCCAGTACTCAACAATCTCATCCTTAATAATGGACTCCAAAATCTTAATGATCAAGGTCAGGTTAACCAGCCTATAATTTGCCATCTTTTGCCTCCTTCCCTTCTTAAACAGGGGTGCTACATTAGCCATTTTCCACTCCTCTGGGACCCTCCCTGACTCCAGTGGTCCTAAAAGATCACCACCAATGCCTCCACAATCTCCTCAGCTATCTCCTTCAGAAACCTGAGGTATAGTCCATCCGATCAGTGTGATTTATCCACCTTCAGACTCTTTAGTTTCCCCAGCACTTTCTCCTTAGTGATGGCCATTACACTCACGTCTGCCCTCTGACTCATTTGAAGCTCACAGGAAATATTGCCTGTCAAGTGCCGTAAAAATCTTGTATGCATCAATCAGATTGCCTCTCATTCTCCTAAACTCAATGAGAACAGTCCCAACCCACACAATCTCTCCTAATAAGAAAGTCCTTCCATACTCAGAATCAACTTAGTGAACCTTAATGCTTCCAATGCCACTATACCTTTCCTTAGATAAGGGACAAAACACTGAGGTGAAAGCAAGAGTCAGTATTCTTACCTGTTTCTTTCATTAGATTGATGCTTTCCTCTTTTCGCTCATCATAAACTCTGGTACCAGCAACTTCTCGCAAAAGTTTCAGTCGCTGAGAGTCTGGCGCTGTTGCCATTTGATTAATCTAATCCAAATATAATTCATAAACCAAAAGCTATTTAGATGATACATTAACTCAAAGACAGTCAAGAAATTAAAACACACACACACGTGCACCATATGTAAAATCATAAACTCTTTGAAAACAATACTTACTGATGCCACATCATTCAAAACAAAAAAAAAGTCCAAAGAAACCTCCAGAGTCCATTTTAAAATTAATATTTCAAATACAGTTATAAAAACTGTTTACGTCAGTCCAAAATTTCAGAAACTTACTCATCTGAATTCTACATTGGTGAGGATTAAAGCAGAGCACATTATTGCAATCTAACCCATCCAGTAAATTGCAGCTTGTGGGTGACACATCACAGCAACAACAACCATGACACTGTAAGGCACTATCAAACAGGCCAACCAGGTTCGAGTTTAATTCAAACCGGAAAAATGTAAAGATTGGGCTAGTGCAGTGAGGTAAGAAGGTTGCAAAACGAGCAACTGGCATGGAGGGGATATGTAGCCAACACAAATTATCAAAGGCTATTTTCAAATTAATAAAATCTCTGTCAAATGTTTTTCCATGATATTCTTTCAAAACCTAATCATATCAACTATCTTCTTTAAAACGCAATTAAATAACCTTTACACAAAACACTTTCATTATACCAATCTTTTAGTTTTTATTTAGGAATTGCCAATACACACATCATTCTTTCCTCAGGAAAATTCTGCAACAATTTGCATGGAAATGAAATGATGCAGTTTTTTTTAGCCCTAAAGGGAATGATTCATATTGAATTAATCATAGCGAACAAGACAAAGTAAATATGATTCATACAGTGACAATGTCAGCACAAGTAGCACCTTACAAAGGCAAGTGGAATAAATAATTGATGTGCAATGTACAACTGAAGCAGGTACAGATAGCTGTCCTAGAATTACAGATTAACAAAATTAATTTCCTCCCCAACCGCACCTTCAGTTCATTGCATAAGTAATGAGCAAAATTTTTGCATAAGATTTCCCTCAAAATAGTCAATATTACACCTGTAGGAGACACTCACGGTCAGAGAAGGGTAAGCTGGATAATGGAGCTACAAATACAAAGTCTCACTGAAAAACTGGTTGTATCTAGCCTGAAAGGGAAGCTAAAATAGGTAACTGCCAACTAAAGAATAGACTGTCTTCTTTTAAAAAAAACTCATTGATAGGAACCAAATGTCTATATTTTAAAATTCAAGACTGTCAATTTTCAGTTTCCTTTCCAATGAATAAAAGCAGCCCACTAGAATACTCCATTCACCAGTACCACACAGCAGTAGGCCAGCTGGGTCTCCTTTCTACCAGGTGCATTCCAGCAATTGATCAAGGATCCTTCAAAAACAACTTCCAACCTCACAATCTAGAAAGACAATTGCAGCAGATGCACGTAAACACAACTGCCTGCAAGTCCCTCTGAAAGCCACATATCAGCCCGACTTGGAACTCTATGACCATTCCTTCACTGATAGTCAAAATCCCAATATTCCCTCCCATGCTCTTGGTGCATTTACTCAACGTGGGCTGCACTAGTTTAAGAAGTTGGCTCATCAACACTTTCAAGATCAATTAAGGGTGATCAATAAAAGCTTGTCTAGACAGGGACACCCACATTCCATGAATTTTGTTTTTAAATAGCTACTTTCTTCTTTGGTTGTTACCACCATTATTCAAAACTGTGTCAACCAATTTCAATTTTCTCTCCACATCCATAATTTGAAAAATCCTGTAAGTACAAATCATTAAAGTATGACAAATCAGCAAAACTCTATGCAGGTACACTTCTTTTCATCGAAGGATGCTGCTGGAGAATCACAGTGTTTCAATGGTGTGGCCTAGCATTTAGTGGTGGATGGGCAAAGGGAATTGATATTCACCTGATCTTTCTTTTAAATCCATGAACTTTGTACTGAAGAATATATCTTCTTATTATGGCTATTACTAAGATTTGAGATAAATTCCCTACCTTAAGGAACTGTTTAGGTGAGTGAAATAGATGTATGTAAATGTAAACTACGTAAGTACATGAGGATGATTGGAATAATGATAGGCTGATGGGGTTAGATGAACGGTACAAGGGAATTTGTGTGGAGCTTAAATACCAGCATGTGACAACTGGGCTGAATGGCCTGTTTCTGAATTGTAAATACTACGCAACACCAGGGGCATTTCATTGTGTTTTATTCACCTTTTGATAGACAAGAAAAAGCATTCAAACTGCAACATGCAACAATCACTTGCAATCACCCTTTTAACCTTGGTGAGTTGCTATAATCTTTGCTGTATGAATCACAGTTACAGATGAATTTCTCAATTTTGTCTGTTTTTGTTAATGTGACTTATGCTCACCCTCGCATTATTGACAGCAAGCCATACAAAGCTCAGATAGCTCACATGGTTCACAAATGGAGTCAAAGTGTGTAGATAGGTTAAGTCATCAAAATGAGCTAGAAAACATGTTTATTTAACTGCCACAGTTCTCATTGACCAAACATCATAAGCACCAAACCTATTAACAACCTCAGGTCTCTATCAACTTCACCATTGTTATCTGAAAGCAATTCGAATTAACAGCAGACTTTAAAATAAAAACTTTAATGTAGAGCTGAAAATCCAATAGAATTTTATTTTATTTTAGGGAATACCATATGCATTTCTAGATTCAATTACCTTTCCTTGCTTGACAATGTAGTAAGGATTGCTTCTAGAAAACCCAGCACTTTCCAAAAGATTCATGACATCATTTTTCCTATTGAACAAAGACAGGATTGATATATCACACAAACTATTTGTGAATCTACAGAAGGTATGCAAAAATACCTTGTCACTCAAAGGCATTGACTACTTACCCATACTTTAAATTGATTTTCATTTAGCAATTTATTAAACCCTTACACTTGTAAGAATATTTGGTTCTCGATGCAACAAATTCCAGCCTTTTAATTTTAAATTTCCTTTTATGGAACTCCTATATATAAGCTATACTTCATTTTAAGTAAGCTTCTTGTTCCAATGGGGAAGGACACAGGCGACACAGTATTACACAAAGTGTTCAATGCATCATTTCAATAGAGGCCAAATAGTACAGATGCTGGAAATCTGAAACGAATGTTGAACAGTGAAGGAACTCAGCAGGTCTGGCAGCATCTGTGGAGAAAGGTAGGAGTTAATCTTTCAATACTGGCATGACTCTTCTTCAGAACTGGAAGATGTTGGAAAATAAGTTCATTTTTATACTTTTGACAAGAGAGAGGACAACCGAGGAAGCAGATGGTATAGAGGCACGATGAAAAAGACAAAGGAGTTGCTCTTGGTGGATTTCCCTTTTTATTTCTCCACTATTAACAAACCCTTTGTCTTTTGCATTGGGTTTCTTATACCATCTGCTCACTTGCTCCTCCTCTGCCTGTCAAAAGTACAAAAAAGAACCTACTTTCAAACACATTTCAGTTCTTAAGATAAGTTATACCAGACTCAAAATGTTAACCATTTCTCTTTCCGCAGATACTGCCAGACTTGCTGAAGTCTCAAGTGCTCCCTGTGTTTACTCAATGCGACATGACCAGTATTAGTCTCTGGTGACTTTCCTGTTAACCTTCTTGTGAAAATTTCCAACCCTTGGTACTTCTGTCACTAGCTTCACATTTTACAAGCAAATTGTATTATTACATAATTAACATAAAATAATACTTCTCATGTATAACTTGTTAGGGCATAGCTGATTACAGAAGGAATCCACCATAACAATTCAGAATACAACTCAGATCAGATGTGGCAGATGGAGTTTAATTCGAAATGTGAGGTGCTGCATTTTGGAAAGGCAAATCAGGGTAGAACTTATACATTTAATGGTAAGGTCCTGGGAAGTGTTGCTGAACAAGGAAACCTTGGAATGCAGGTTGATAGGATAATGAAGGCAGCATTTGGTATGCTTTCCTTTGCTGGCCAGTGCAATGAATATAGGAGTTGGGAGGTCATGTTGCGGATGTACAGGATATTGGTTCGGCCACTTTTGGAGTATTGGTGCAATTCTGGGGTCCCTCCTACAGGAATGATGTTGTGAAACAAGAAAGGATGCAGAAAAGATTTACAAGAATGTTGCCAGGTTTGGAGTGTTTGAGCTATAGGGAGAGACTGAATACAGTCAGGCTATTTTCCCTGGAGCGCCAAAGGCTGAGGCGTGACCTAATTGAGGTTTATAAAAATCAGGAGAGGCATGGACAAGGTAAATAGGCAAAGTCTTTTCCCCGGGATTTTGGTGGGGGGAGGTGGGGAGGTGGGGAGTGGACACATGCGGAGAAGAGTCCAAAACTAGAGGGCATAGGTTCAAAGTTGGAGGGGATAGATATAAAAGGGACTTAAGGGGCAACTTTTTCATGCACAGGGTGGTGCACAAATGAATGAGCTGCCAGAGGAATTGGCGGAGGCTGGTATGATTACAACAATTAAAAGGCATCTGGATGGATATACGAATAGGAAGGGTTTAAGAGGGATATGGGCAAAATGCTGGCAAATGGGACTACAGTTATACAGGATATCTGGTCGGCATGGATGAGTTGAACCGAAGGGTCTGTTTCTATGCTGTACATCACTATGACTCTATAACTTGTACAATAAATGTACCATTAGCAACTCCCAATACCTTGAGCTCTTAAGTTGCAAGGTTATCAACAAATCTATCATTTCTGGATTTGCACTCAACATTCCCACACAAGGAAGTATACATGACTGACTATAAATTGTCAATCTTTAGCTCCCTGGAAGGGGTACTGTTGGACTGCCTCTTGATCACCAAAAACAACTGAGTGGCTTGTTAGGTTGCTTTAGAGGGCAGTTGAGAGTCAACCATATTGGAGTGCAGCTGGTGTTACATACAGAACGCACAGAATAACACAGTACATCTCCTACTCTAAAGGACAGAGTCAACTGGTTAGTTTCTCCCTCAATAACCTGACTGCTTCATGGTCACCTTTAATGATAACAGCTTACTTTAAACTGAAATTGAAGCATAAAACTTCCATGGTGGGATTTAAACTCAAATTCTCTGGTTATAGATCAAACCTCTGAATTACCAATCAAGTAGGATAACACAATAGTATCATACCCTATATCTATTGTGCAGATAACAGTAGAATTTTGCGAAATGGCGAAAACGAATAAAGCACGCAAGCAAAAATAAATGAACTAACTTACGTCACCATTTTCTTGTCTAAAAAATACTGATCCTTCTTTGCCCCAATGACACGACGGAGAGAAACCTCTTCTTTGTCAATCTGTGGGAATAAAGTAAGAACTGTTATAATCCAAGCTTTTCAAATACAAAGTCAATAAATATAACTCAACTAGGTCTATAACTAGCATTTTTACCCTTTACTTGTGCATGAAATGAGTATCACCGTTAAACCACTACAGCTAATGTGTAAATAAAGCCAGAGCACTGTTCGGAAGAGTTCCATATTTTTGGCACAGCAATAGTGAAGGAGCAGCAATACAGGTCCAAGATATATGGCTTGGAGGGAAACTTGCAGGTTCTGGTATTCCTCTGTATCTGCTGCCCTTAAGTGATAAAGGTTATGAGTTTGGAAGATGCTGCCAAAGTAAGTTTGGGAGTTGCTGCAGTGCATCTTGTAGACTATTCACATTGCTGCCACTGTCGCCAACGATGGACGCACTCAATACTTCAGGTAGTGGATTAGTGGCTTTATCCTAATGATATCTAGGTTCTTGAGTACTGTTTGAGCTACACCCATCCAGGCAGGTGGACATTATTCCATCATTATTCCAACTCCTGAATTCTGCCTTGTAGATGGTGGATAGTATACAGGGTTTGGAGTGTCCGATTCAACTTTTCTGCAGCACTTTTGATACAGCTAAATAGCTTGCTAGGTCATTTCAGAAGGCAGTTAAGAGTCAGTCATAAACCACCACAGTTAATACAATTTTCTATTAACTTCAGGGGTCCCTGTTTTCTGACAGCATAGGAGTAGATCTCTGTTACAGGTGCAAAAACAGAGTTGCTGGAAAAGCTCAGCAGGTCTGGCAGCATCTGTGAAGGAAAAAAACAGAGTTAACATTTTGGGTCTGGTGACCATTCCTCAGAACTCTGTTACAGGAGAACTGTCTGACCTAGTTATTCTTTTCAATCCCTTAAGAAAAATAACATCCTCATATGCCACTATTCTGACATCCAATAAATGTATGTGTACAGGATATATATCCAATTTACATACACAAACATATGTATAGAATAATCAGACATCGTGCATCACAAAAGGAAGAAGCTTGTTCTAGCTTGGGCTGCAATTCTTAAGGATGTGGAGGAGCACAGAGATCCTGTTGTATGTGTGCATAGATCACGGAGGTGGCAGGACAGGTGGAAAGAGCCGTCTGCTTTATTAAAATGGTTATAGAGTACAAGAGCTAGATGATGGTGAATATACGTAAGACACTTGTTAGAGCTGAGCTGGAATGTTGCATACAGTTCTGGGCTCCACACTATAGGAAGGATGTGAACCCACTGGAGGGAGTTTTTTTTTGCAGAAGAGATTCACAAAAACAGTTCCAAAGATGAGAAACTTTAGTGGACGTTAGATTGGAGGGGTTTGGAGAAAGCTAAGAGGAGATCTGATAGAAGTTTTCAAAATCATGAGAGGTGCGAATAGAGCAGGTAGTGGGAAAATGTTCCTGCTCATGAAACAATTGAGAATGAGAGGGCACAGATTTGAAGTGATTTACAAAAATAGCAAATGTGATGTGAGTGGAAACTTTTACATAGCAGGTGAGTCTGGAGTGTTCTACCTGGAAGTGTGGTCAAAGAGGGTTCAAATGGAACATTCAAGAAGGCACTGCATGATGGTTTTTACTCAAATAATTTTTAAGGGTACAGGAAGAAGGCAGGATTTCACTAACGAAATCATGTACACTTGTCAATCACAGTGCATTGACATGCCTACAGACTAATAAACTCCAGTTTTCAGATCATGGCTCTTTCTTGATATAAGGAAGGTTACATCATCAGGGAAAACACAATGAAAATTAATGTAAACTAATTATTCTTTTAACTCAACGGTTACAATACTTACAGGTAACCTATTGTCTGAATTGTCAAATATAATTTCAACAAATGCAGAAATGACACGAGGTCCTGTTCCTTCCTATAAATAGACAAAATTTAAAGTTAACAATGCCTGGAAGTTGAAGCTAAAATATCATTTTGAAACAGCCAGGTGCACAAGAAAAGAGTTCAATGATATATACAACTTGCATTTATATAGCACTTTCAACATTTAAAAACCTGCACCTCACAGGGGTATCAAAAAATTGAGATGAAGCCATATAAGAAAGTATTAAGGTAGAAAAGCAAAAATATGGTCAAAGAATTAGGTTTTAAGGAGTGTTTTAAAGGAAGACACTAAAAGGCATTAGGGCAGACAAGTCCCCAGGTCCAGATGAGATCTATCCCAGGTTACTGAGGGAAGCAAGAGAGGAAATAGCTGGGGCCTTAACAGATATCTTTGCAGCATCCTTGAGCACGGGTGAGGTCCTGGAGGACTGGAGAATTGCTAATGTTGTGCCCTTGTTTAAGAAGGGTAGCAAGGATAATCCAGGTAATTTTAGACCGGTCAGCCTGACATCAGTGGTGGGGAAGCTGCTGGAGAAGATAATGAGGGATAGGATCTATTTACATTTGGAAGAAAATGGGCTTATTAGTGATAGGCAGCATGGTTTTGTGCAGGGAAGGTCATGTCTTACCAACTTAATAGAATTCTTTGAGGAAGTGACAAAGTTGATAGATGAGGGAAGGGCTGTGGATGTCATATACATGGACTTCAGTAAGACGTTTGATAAGGTTCCCCATGGTAGGCTGATAGAGAAAGTGAAGTCGCATGGGGTCCTGGGTGTACTAGCTAGATGGATAGAGAACTGGCTGGGCAACAGGAGACAGAGGGTTGTAGTGGAAGGGAGTTTCTCAAAATGGAGAACTGTGACCAGTGGTGTTCTACAGGGATTCATGTTGGGACCACTGTTGTTTGTGATATACATAAATGATCTGGAGGAAGATATAGATGGTCCGATTAGCAAGTTTGCAGATGACACAAAGATTGGTGGAATAGCAGATAGTGAAGGGGACTGTCAGAGAATGCAGCAGAATACAGATAGATTGGAGAGTTGGACGTTGAAATGGCAGATGGAGTTCAATCCAGGCAGATGCGAGGTGATGCATTTTGGAAGATCCAATTCAAGAGCAAACTATGTGGTAAATGGAAAAGCCCTGGGGAAAATTGATGCACAGAGAGATCTGGGTGTTCAGGTCCATTGTACCCTGAAGGTGGCAATGCAGATCGATAGAGTGGTCAAGAAGGCATACAGCATGCTTTCATTCATCGGACGGGGTATTGAGTACAAGAGTTGGCAGGTCATGTTACAGTTGTATAGGACTTTGGTTTGACCACATTTGGAATACTGCATACAGTTCTGGTCACCACATTATCAAAAGGATGTGGATGCTTTGGAGAGGGTGCAGAGGAGGCTCACCAGGATGTTGCCTGGTATGGAGGGCGCGAGCTATGAAGAGAGGTTGAGTAGATTAGGATTATTTACATTAGAAAGACGGAGGTTGCGGGGGGACCTGATTGAGGTCTACAAAATCATGAGAGGTATAGACAGGGTGGATAGCAAGAAGCTTTTTCCCCCAGAGTGGGGGACTCAATTACTAGGGGTCACGATTTCAAGATGAGAGGGGAAAAGTTTAAGGGAGATATGCGTGGAAAGTTCTTTACGCAGAGGGTGGTGGGTGCCTGGAAGGCGTTGCCAGCGGAGGTGGTAGAAACGGGCACGATAGCATCATTTAAGATGTATCTAGACAGATACATGAATGGCAGGGAGCAGAGGGATACAGATCCTTGGAAAATAGGCAACAGGTTTAGATAGAGGATCTGGATCGGTGCAGGCTTGGAGGGCCGAAGGGCCTGTTCCTGTGCTGTAATTTTCTTTGTTCTTTGAAGACAGCAAAGTAGTGTAGTTTAGGGACAGAATTCTAGAGTTCAGGTCCAGGTAGGTGAAGGCACAGCCACTAAATGAAGAAGCAACAAAAAAAATTGGCACTTGTCAAGGTCCAGACTCTGTACACTTATCTCAAACGAGTTCAGAGCTGGAGGAGATTAGAGATAGGGCGGGGCAAGGTCATGGAAGGACCTGAAAACAAGGATGAGAATGTTAAAATCAAGACAATGCTCATCTAGGAGCTAACTTAAGTCAGTAAGCACAGGTATGATAAATGAGTACCATTCAATGCAAGTTGGTACTTGGGCAGCAGATTTTTTTTAAGGTTTTGAAGTTGATTTGTAGCTCGAGTTATGGATGTTTGGTTGGTTGGCTCGCCGAGCTGGTTCGTTGTTTTTCCGCAGAAGTTTCATTACCCTGCCGGGTAACATCATCAGTGCAGCCTCCAATGAAGCGCTGTTGTGTTTTCCCACCTGTTATTTGAACTCTGGAGTCCGTTGAGCTGGATTACCTCACTTCCGGTTTTCTTTAGTAGTGGAGTGTCTATGGGGTCGAGCTACATGGTACTCCACAAAGAAAGCCATCAACAAACACATGTAGCTCGACCCCATAGACACTCCACTACTAAAGAAAACCGGAAGTGAGGTAATCCAGCTCAACGGACTCCAGAGTTCAAATAACAGGTGGGAAAACACAACAGCGCTTCATTGGAGGCTGCACTGATGATGTTACCCGGCAGGGTAATGAAACTTCTGCGGAAAAACAACGAACCAGCTCGGCGAGCCAACCAATCACCAAGGAGTTTTCATTGACGTGAAAGTTACAGAGGTAGAGACTAGCCAGGAGTGTGTCAGGTGAATTAAGTCCATTAGTGACAAAGGCATGAACAGAGCTCAGTGATGTTACAAGAATGGAAACAGGCAGTACCAGCACCAGCATAGATGAGGTTAAAAACTCAACTTGGAGTCAAATATAACACCTGACAGGAAGAGGGAAGGAGTCAGAGTATCTTATCCATTTGTAAAACAGAATTAACTTCACTTCTTGAGCCAAATATATATCTTATGTATAATGAGACTAGTATAAACAAATAGAACCATGAAATGATTAACTTATTTACAAATAATTTGCAATCAATATAGCATTGATTCTGGACTTGATGAGCTCAAAAGTAGAGATTAGGCATTAATAGACCCGATTCAACAATTGCTTTAGATTAGTACAAGACTAGCTGACAATCTAACACTACATAATTAAATATCAGTGGGATGGAAAACAGGAAATTGAAGTCCTAACAAAATATGCAAAATGCTGTAGCTAATTTTAAGGGTAAGAACACCACTATTATTCACCTAATCTCAACCTATTCCATGTTTCACTGTCAGGTGGCATTGTAATTAACTCGTGTTTATTCGCCTGCACAATTATGAAATATATGGAGGTTAATTTGGCATCCAATGTTTAACTTGGGTGCAATGAAATAAGCACTCAAAATATTATTTTCATTGCGAGCACTGATAATGGAGTTAATTTTCATTTCAAACTCTCACAAAACACTTTCATTGGCAACCCCCTTTTATCCAACTTGTTTGTGAAATCAAAGTTCTTGCAAACCTATACATTTTAGAACTGTTGCAGTCTAGAAACGTCAGCTGACAAAGATGTGAAATTTCTGCATAAAATTAAATACTACAATAACTCAAAGTAACTTATGCTTACTATTGCTATTGTGGAAGTGTGCCAAGCAGAAATTAAATAGAAAAATAATGATCAGGAACTCGTCACTATACCTCCTGACAGTCAGTATTAGAGTAGCACAAAGACTAGGGAATGGTAGAACAGAGGGAAAATTCTCTTTGCCCTGACAGGACTACTCTTGGTTGCTCTTTTCCATTTGACTAGCCTCATCGTATGGCATTTTAGAACCAAATCTCTGCATGTTCTGTTTCAACATGGAAGGTGACAGTTGCCATGTGAAGATAATAGTAAAGGCCAGAACTGTGGATTTGCAAAAAATTTTAAATCTTAGATACTGGTCAGGCAAAAAATTATCATTTTAAAGCAGTTAACTTCCTGTGCTTTCTTTTAGCTGCCCCTCACTGCAGTAGCAAATGTCACAAAATATTGTTCTTTTCGGGAAAAGTTAAGCAATATAGCCTAACATTTTTCCTCATAAGATTTCTCAACTGTTTGAAAGAATGCTTTACAAGTTAAATCAGTTGAGCAAAAATCAGTGCAAAACAATTTGCTGGTGAAATTCAGCAACTCTAGCAGCATCTGTAGGAAGAAAGCAGAGTTAACTTTGAGTCCAGTGACTCATCATTTGTTTCGGATCTCCAGCATCTGTAGTTCTTCGTTTTAGTTTAGCAAACCGTTCCATGCACTTCTAACTTCTTTGGTGGTAATAAATATAGCCTAGGTATTATACTCTTGGGTAACTGGTGTCCTTGGTTCAACATAGACCATCAAGTGTTCCACAATAATTCACAAATGCTAAGAGGTAACAAACACTGAAAGATCAATTTCTGCAAAATAAAATAATGCAAGTTATAACACAAGACATTTGATTTCACTGACATTTTAATATTTTGGCAGGAGTACTTACATGCAGTAGAGCAAGTCTCTGCTCTGGGCGAAGGTGGCTGAACTCATCACTAAGCACAAACTGAATTGCTGCAAATGGAAGGAAAAATGGTCAGGACAAAATGGAAGGTAGGAGAAGAGACAGAAAAACGTTATGAAAAATGAATGCACTACTATTCGAAGAATGGCAACAGAGCCGATTCATAACTACAGCACAACAGATTTCAAAAAGTTTCAGGATGGCATCGAATATGCATCAGCAAACCAAATGTCATAACATCCTTCTGTACAAGACGCGCTACAGGATTAATCATACAAGTGAAATTAGATTAACTCCCTACCCCATGCCCCTCCCTACTTTCTGCATATAAACCAACGTTTTCCCAGCTACCATCAGTTCTGAGAAAGGGTCACTGGATCCGAAATGTTAAATCTGAGTTTTTTTCTTCACAGATGCTGCCAGACCTGCTGAGCTGTTCCAGCAACTTCTGTTTATGTTCCTGATTTACAGCATCCGCAGTTCTTTTGGTTTTTATTTACTGTTTAACTCACTGCCCCATCTCTTCTAGGCATGCCCACCTTGAAGAAGTTTTGCTCTTCTCTCTGACAGGATTTCCATTTCAATCTTTCTTCATGTCCACCAACATTAATTTCACTGTCACTCCTGATATTTGACCAAGTATTTGCTAAAACTCGTTTCCACAGCCATAACACATTCCTCAGTGACTGCCTCTGGCTCAGACTCAAACCACATGATTCCAACTCCAGCCTCATCCCTCATGGTTTGAATCCTCGCGGGACCACAGATATCGCCATGGCGTTCAACGTTCCACGGACAGCTATTCTCACCACATCCTGAGATCCACACTCAGTGCCGTGCAGCGTCACTTGCACACACTCAACCTTTCTCTCCAACCACATCGCAACACACTGGCACAGGGCTGCACCACTCGCAGTTCCACTTCATCCTCCGACTCATTTGCCGTGCTAACAAGAAATTTTTTCTTTTCCTTTCAGGCATCAAGGCCCACAAGATGCAACAATTCAAAGATACCCGTGGCCCTCTTGAACCTTCCTCTCCTCTCCTTCCCTTCCCTTTGACTCCATCCCATTCTCCAACCCCAACCCCCAACCCCACCATCTCTCCTAACATTTGGCTCTCTGATGCTAAACATTCTGTACTCAGCAAAGGCCTCATCTTAATTAATTTTGGCAATGACGAGATCGAAATCTTCTTCCGCCGTCTTCACCTCCGTGTCCATTTCTTTGGATAAGAGTCTTTTCCTCGTCTCACAGACCTTTTCGCCCAGTTCCAACACTCTCCCTCCGCCTGGACCCCTCGCTCTGGCCTTTTAACTGCACTAGATCTGTTCATCGAGAACGGTCGACGTGATATTGGTCGCCTCAATTCCTCTGCACCACCCCACCCTGCCTCACCAAATCCAACCTATCTCCCTCTGAACTAACTGCGCTCCGTGCACTCAGATCTAACCCTGACTTTGTTATTAAGCCTGCTGATAAGGGTGGTGCTGTTATAGTCTGGCGTACTGACGTCGATATTGCAGAGGCTCAGCGCCAGCTTTCACATACCTCCTATCTTCCCCTGGACCATGACCCCACCATGACACAATCAGACCATTGTCTCAACCACTGTAACTGATCTCATTTCATCTGGTGACCTCAACCCCACTGCCTACAAGCTGATAGTCCACCAGCCCCACACAGCTTGCTTCTACTTCCTCCCAACAATCCACAAACAGGACTGTCTGGGCAGACCCATTGTTTCAGCCTGCTCCTGCCCCACAGAACTCACCTCTTCCTACCTTGACTCAATCTTCACTCCCCTGGTCCAATCCCTGCCCACGTATATCTATGATTCCTCTGATGTTTTATGCCGGTTTCAAAACTTCCTGTTTGCACGCTCCAGCAGCCTCCTCTTTACCATGGACATGCAATCCCTTTACACATTCATTCCCCACCAGGAGGGTCTTAGTACTCTCCATTAAGACCTGAACCATCCCCACCTACCACTACCCTCCTCCGCTTGGCCGAGCTCATCCTCATCCTGAACAACTTCTCTTTTAACTCCTTTCATTTTCTTCAGGTCAGAGGGGTGTCCAAGGGTACCCACGTGGGCCCTGGTCATGCCTGACTCTTCGTGGGGTACGTGGAACATTCCTTGTTCCAGTCCTGTTCTGGACCCCACTCACAACTCTTTCTCCAATATAGTTGATGATATCATCGGTGCTGCTTCCCCCTCTCGTCTGGAATTGGAAAAGTTCATTGATTTCACTTCCAATTTCCACCCTGCCTTCACTTTCACCTAGTCTATCTCTGACTCCTCCCTTCCCTTCCTCAACATCCGTTTCCATTTCTGGGGACAGACTGGCCACTAATATCCACTATTAACCAACTGACTCCCACAGCTACCTGGACTACACATCCTTGCACCCTGCTTCCTGTAAAGACTCCATCCCATTCTCTCAGTTCTTCTGTCACCATCGCATATGTTCAGACAAGGTCAACTTCAATGAGGGAGCCTCCAAAACATATACCTTCTTCTTCAACCGATGATTCCCCAGCACCGTTGTCGACAGGGCCCTCAACCAGGTCTGACCCATCTCCCGCCCTCACCCCTTCTCTTCCTTCCCGCAACACCGATAGGGTTCCCCTTGTCCTAACCTGCCATCCCACCAGCATCCACATCCAGAAGATCATCAGATGCCATTTCCGCCACCTCCAGCAAGATGCCACCACCAGACACATATTCCCCTTCCTTCCCCTTGTCAGCCTTCCGCAGGGACCGTTCCCTCCAGGTCACCCTGGTCCACTCTTCCTTCACTCCCAACACCTTCCCATTTACCTCCTCCCTCACCAGTATCCAAGGGCCCAAACATACCTTCCAGGTGAAGCAACACTTCAACTGCACTTCCCAGAATCTAGTCTACTGCATTCACTGCTCACAATGTGGTCTCCTCTACATTGGAGGAGCGAAGTGTAGACTGGGTGACCATTTCACAAAACATCTACGTTCTGCTCGCAAAAAAAGACCATGAGCTTCCAGTTGCCTGCCACTTCAACACACCACCCGGTTCCTTGGCCAACATCTCTGTCTCAAGCTTGCTGCAGTGTTCCAGTGAGGCACAAAACAAGCTGGAAAAACAAGACCTCATTTTCCGTTTGGGGACCCTGCAGTCCTCCGGACTCAATATCCAGTTCAATCAATTTATGGCCTAAATTCTCCCATGTCCTAGCCACCAAACCCACATACCAGGCCCTGTTATCACATAGCCTGCTATTACACACTGATTGTTAGTCACTCAGTCCCCATTAACAGCTATTCACCCTCCTAGCCAGATTGTTATCCACTCCTTTGTCCATTCAACTGCTTTTCTCTCTCTTCAGGCTCTATCCTTTATCCTATCATTTACTCCCCATCCCCTGCATATAAACCAAAATTTTCCCAGCTACCATCAGTTCTGAGGAAGAATCACCTGACCCAAAACGTTAACTTTTTTTTCCTTCACAGATGCTGCCAGACCTGCTGAGATTTTCCAACAACTTCTGTTTTTGTTCCTGATTTACAGCATCTGCAGTTCTTTCGGTTTTTATTAAGTATAATTAGAATGTTGACAAGTAATATTATGTAGCCACTCACTTGAGTTTAAACAGAACACTGAAAGTTTGTAATCCTAACAATATAATTTCATCTTGTACAGCCTAAAATTAACTCTCAAATTGCTGCACCTTTTATTGTAAATAAATTATCTAAACTGGATCCAAGGATAGAAATATGAAATTTCTTCAATTCTGAAAAAAGTTGATAAAATTTTAGCACTAACCAACTAGCCATCTACATGTTCTTCCATATGGCAATTTATAGTATTTGCCATTTGAAAAACTTTGAGAGCCTGAAAAACAGAAGGCATCTTGTTTATCACTTGTTTTAAACTTGAATTTCACTCTTTCACCTCTCCAGAAATCTCACTAGACTGAAGAAACAGCCAAGAGTTTCATTACATACCCTAGCTAATACCATTCTATAGCCTTCATACAAGCACGTGCAAAAAAGCAACAAACAAACTATTTTTCTAAGGCTCTCTCTCTCAACTTCACTTTCAATGAGAATTTCCATAGCAGCATGCTGTGATCTAACACGGCATGTATTCAATTATGGCCCTAGTACATTCCATAGTTAGCATACAAGAGTTCCATCTTTAGTATATTACCAAGCATCTTCCTATAAAGATTACTGTCAATAATACAAAATTCCAGTTAAATACAGTATTTTACATGTATTTAATTAATATCACAAATTCTCAAACTGTACAGGAGTGAGTGCATTTTGAGAGTGTACAATTTCAATCTACTTGATGCCTTCAACATCTCAATGATTTTGAAATTTTAAAATAAGTATCCTTGAAATTAAAAAAAAAAGTCAGATCTTACCATAGAAAAAGTTACTTTTCCCAGATCCATTTCGGCCAACTGAAGAGAAAGAAATATGATTGGATGTTGTTAAAACTATTATGTTTCTCCATTATTTTTACTATACAAAACCATCATCCCAAAAGCACAAGACCAGGGAAAATCTGAGCGAAAATAAAAATGAAAAACAAATGAACAAATTCCGGAACAAGGAAAAAGTTTGAAATAATGCAATTACATTCTCCAGTTTACACACGAGTGGTAAACTCTGCCAGTCTTCCATTATTTTTCCGAAAGTAAAAGTCAGACAAAATAGTACTTAAACGCTACTATGTTGATTACATTCCAGAATAATGCTTTTGGGTCTGTTAAGTGTTGTCAGTGAATTGTTCACAATTACTGCCATATATTGTATTTAAATAAACAGTCAATTCAGATTAGTAAACAAAAACAAACGTTAATGGCTCCGAATCTGCCTCAGAGTTATTCAATGCATTCATTGAGTAATACAGAATGGAAACAGGTCCGTCAGCCCAAACTGGTCCATGCTGACCATGGCGCCCACTCAGTGAGTTCAAATTCCCCACATTTGGTCCATATCCTTCTAAACCCTTCCTATCCAAATGTTGCTGTTTCATCAATGACTTTTCTTCCATCATATGGTAGAAGTGGGGACATTCAGTGACAATTGCATAATATTTAGCATAACTCACTGCCTCTCGGATAATAAAGCAGTTCAGTTCACAATGCCACTCAAGTGCCAGGCATTAACCATCTGTAAGAGAATCTATTCCCTCCAAATCAATGGTACTACCATCACACAACCATCCATCTTCAATATCCTGGCAGTTACCATTGACCAGAAACTGAGTTGGATTAGCCACATAAATACTCGTGAGGTGATTCATTTTGGAAGGACAAACTTGAAATCAGAATACAGGGTTAACAGAAAGATTCTTGGCAGTGTGGAGGAGCAGAGGGATCTTGGGGCTCATGTCCACAGTTCCCTGAAAGCTGCCACCCAGGTGGATAGAGTTGTTAAGGAGGCGTATGGTGTGTTAGCTTTCATTAATAGAGGGATTGAGTTCAAGAGCCGTGAAGTTATGCTCCAGCTATACAAAAGCCTGGTTCGGCCACATCTGGAGTATCGTGTCCAGTTCTGGTCACCTCATTACAGGAAAGATGTGGCATCGTTGGAAAAGGTGCAGAGGAGATTTACCAGGATGTTGCCTGGAATGGAGGGAAGGTCTTACGAGGAAAGGTTGAGAGAGCTTGGGCTTTTCTCTTTAGAATGACAAAGGGTGACAGATGACTTGATAGAGGTGTACAAAATGATCAGAGGTATAGATAGAGTGGACAGCCAGAGACTTTTTCCTAGGGTGGAGGTAGCTATTACGAGGGGGCATAGTTTTAAAGTGAGTGGAAGTAGATAGGGGAGACGTCAGCGGTAGCTTCTTTACACGGAGAGGGGTAGGGGCGTGGAATGCATTGCCGGAGAGGGTAGTGGAGTCGGCCTCATTAGGGGCATTTAAGCAGCTATTAGATAGGCATATGGATGATAGTATAAGGTAGGGCTGGAGGTTAGATAGACCTGAGGTTTAGGGTAAAAATTCGGCACAACATCGTGGGCCGAAGGGCCTGTACTTTGGTGTTCTATGTTCTACTGTAGCTACAAAACCAGAGCAGAAGCTAGGGATCACGCAGAGAATAACTCACTTCATGGCTCTCCAAAGCCTGTCTACCATCTACAACACGCAAGCAAAAGCAGCAGTGTGGAGTATCTACTAGATGCACTGTGGAAATTCATCAAGGCTCTTTATGACAGCACCTTCCAAATCCATGACCACTACCTTCTAGAAGGACAAAGGCAGCAATATATGGGAATACTACCCCCACCAACTGCAAGTTCTCCTCCAAGCCACTCACCATCCTGACTTGAAATTATACAGCCATTCTTTGTCACTAAGTCAAAGATCTCCTCAGGGACTGCAGTGGTCAGGAAAGCTGCTCACCACCACCTTGAAGAAAATAAGGAGTGGGCAATAAATGTTAGCCCAGCCAGGGAAGCTTGCATCCCATAAGAGAATGAAAAAAAGCAATTTGATGGACTTGGTTGAATGACTGCAGCTCCAATAAAACTCAAGAAATATGACACTATCCAGGGCAAAGAAGCCTGCTTGATTGGCACCAACTTCACAAAATATCCACAGTCCAACACCAGAACATAGTAGATACACGCTGCTACATCTACAAGGTGGACTGCAGAAATTCACCAATGTTGCCTGAACAGCACCTTCCAAACTCACCTCCACAGCACAAGGGCAGTGGATATCACCACCTCCAAGCCACACACCATCCTGACTTCAAAAGTTGCAGTTGTTCCTTTACTGTCACTAGGTCAAAATCCTGACACTCCCTCCTTATAACAGCACTGTGGCCATAACTATACCAAGTTAGAAAGTTGGATCCAAAAGTGATTTAGTGACAAGATAGAGACGGTGGTGGGAGAAGACTGTTTGTGTGACTGGAGCCCAGCGTGCAATGGCATACCACAGGGATCAATGCTGGGTCTCTTATTGTTTATAATCTTCATAAATGATATAGATGGGAATGTTGGGGGAGGGGGGATGATAAGCAAGTTTGCAGGTGGCTCAAGGATTGACCACGTGGTTGACAGTGAGGAGGAAGGTGTTTGGTTACAGGAGATATAAGTGCATTGGGCAGATGGGCAGATCAGTGGCAGATGGAATTTAATCCCTCACAAAATACTTGAATGAACACTTGAAGTACCATAACATTACAGACTATGTGTCTAGTGAGAGAAGCATGCAGGAAGGTGGGGCTAGTGTAGGTAGCAGTATAGTTTTGGCAGTATAGACCTGATAGACTGCTGCTATACTGTATGGTTTTATGAACCCGCAGAAGTTCAAGAAAACAGCTCACCACCATCTTCTCAAGAGCAATTAAGCATGAGGAATATACGTACACTAGTCCAGCCAGCAAAGCTCATATTCCGAGTGATTTTGTTTTAGTAGTTTACTTGATGTAGAGTGGCAGCTCTGAAGCTGCAGCCTCTGCAAACTTGGCCAGGAAAATCTACCGTCAGAAACAGATAAATACATGCTCTGACTGCATCATGCATCAATAGATATTGAGCGCTTTTTTTTAAAATTGCATGCATGGGGAAACTGCTCCCTCTAATGTCAGATTTTTCTCAAAATTCCTACCAATAAATTAAAAAGCAAATATAATTTTCTAATCTTTTGCTTCATCTCTCACATCTCAGTTTTCTCAGTGTGCTTGGTACTATTCATTATCATGTGCTCAAATCATTAAATGTCTCAGCTGGCACTCATTTATCAAATTGTAAGCATCATTACGGAGCCAAGTTCTCTCATTCCATAGCAGGGAAGTTACTGCTACCCTGAGTCAGAGTTTTCTTTAACAATATCTTCTTCAGGCGGACTGAGAAATGCAATTATATTGTGCATCCACTGTACTGGATCACTCTGTAACTAGAAACCGAGACTTGTGTTCTAATTTCATGAAGCATTTTTACATTCCTCATTCACATAAGTCACAGTTAAATCCTGTTCAGAACGAGGGAAAGCTCACTTCACCAACATGAGGGGCTTATCAATCCTTCCCAAGGGTCGTAGTTTGGTGTAAATTTAGGTCCAACAATGACAGAACCACTAAAGACTGAAATTCAACACATAAACAAGTGACAGCACACTCTTAAAAAGTAATGAGGGTTTAATGCACGAAATGGAAAAAACATTTCATTGGTACACCGTCAAGCAAAAAAATAGGAGTCAAAAAAGTTTATATCACAAGTTGAAAGGCTTGATAAGCATTAATATTTATGAAAAATGCTAGATGATTATCCAAACAATCCTTCCAAAGCAGTGGAGGTGCAGGAGTACAGATTCATCTCCTAACTTTCATGATCAGGCACCTATGGATATAAATCATTGGTTAACATATAGAGAAATGGATCCTTTACTACACCACAACAGTGTACATTAACTGCAATGTCTCAGAAAACACAAACTTAAAACAATAACCACACAGCTTTATTCTGTAAAAACTGTAATCCCTTTACTTTAAATTAGCATCTTATTTTCCACGATCATTACCACTTAAATATTTACCTTTCATGACACTTAAAGAGCTCAAGGCCTCAGTTTGGGAACAAGGCTCAAAGTCAAGTCCTTGTCACCGCAGCTTTAATTCTACACCTACTCTTTAGACCCAAAACATAATTCTTTCCCTGTACTATTTTCTTCTTTTAGGAGAATAGTTGAACATGCAACCACTCTGCATCATCAACATCTTCACAAATAGAAATGAATTGAATAATCAGTAAATTTTGTTGTTAGCATCCTTATTGAAGAAATTATTGCTCTCTTTCAAGTATTATTATTGAAACTTTATTGTATACTCCAGGACCAGAATAACCACAATAGTGACAGTGACAATGTCACTGGACTAGTAACCCAGAAGCCCAGGATAATGTTTGGGGGCATTGCTAGGTGTCCCTATCAGAGCCAGAAGGCTTGGGTTCAAGTACTACCCACATAAGACATAGGAGCAGAAATTAGACCATTCAGCCCATCGAGTCTGCTCTGCCATTCAATCATGGCTGATAAGCTTCTCAACCCCATTCTCCTGCTTTCTCCCCGTAACCCTTGATCCCCTTGACAATCAAAAACCTATCTACCTCCGTCCTAAACATACTCAACGCCCTGGTCTCCACAGTCTTCTGTGGCAGTGAATTCCATAGATTCACTACTCTTTTGGCTGAAGAAGTTTTTCCTTATCTCCGATCTAAAAAGGTCTTTCCTTTACTCTAAGGCTGTGCCCTCGGGTCCTAGTCTCTCCGACCAATGGAAACATCTTCCCAACATCTGCTCTTTCCAGGCCAGTCAGTATTCTGTAAGTTTCAATTAGATCCCCATTCAGCTTTCTTAACTCAGAGCACAGACCCAGAGTCCTCAAACACTCCTCATATGTTAAGCTTTCCATTCCTGGGACGATTATTATGAACATCCTCTGCACCCACTCCAGGGCCAGTACATCTTTCCTGAGATATGGGGCCCAAAACTGCGCACAATACTCCAAAAGTGATCTTGACCAGAGCCTCAGAAGTACATCCCTGTTTTTATATTCAAGTCCTCTCAAAATAAATGCCAAAGTTGCATTTGCCTTCCTAACAACTGATTCAACCTGCAAGTTTACTTGCGAACATCCTGGACTAGAACTCCCAAGTCTCTTTGCACTTCAGACTTCCGAGCTTTCTCCCTACTTAGAAAATAGTCCATGCTTTTATTCTTCTTACCAAAGTGCATTACCACATACTTTCCCACATTGTATCCATCTGCCACTTCTTTGCCCACTCTCCTAACCTGTCCAAATCCTCTGCAGCCTCCCCACCTCCTCAATACTGCCTGTCCCTCTACCTACCCTTGTATCATCTGCAAACTTAGTCAGAATCTCCTCAGTTCCTTCGTCTAGATCATTAATGCAAAGTGAAAAGTTGTGGTCCCAACACTAATCCTTGTGGAACACCACTTGTCACCGGTTGCCATCCTGAGAAAGACCTTTTTAACCCCAGTCTCTGCATTCTGCCAGAGAGCCAATCTTCTATCCATGCTAGTACCTTGCCTCTAACACCATGGGCCATTATCTTACTCAGCAGCCTCCTGTGCAGCACCTTGTCAAAGGCCTTCTTGAAGTGCAGGTAGATAACATCCATTGACTGTCCTTGGTCTAACCTGCTCATCACCTCCTCAAAGAATTCTAACACATTTGTCAGGCATGACCTCCCCTTGATGAAGCCATGCTAACTTTGCCCCATTTTACCATGCACTTCCAAATATTCAGAAATCTCATCCTTCACAATGGACTCTAAAATCTTACCCACAACCAAGATTAGGCTAATTAGTCTATAATTTTCCATCTTTTGCCTTACTCCCTTTTTAAACAGGGGTGTTATGTTAGCGATTTTCCAGTCGTCTGGAATTTGCCCTGACTCTAGCGATCCCTGAAAGATCACCACTAACGCCTCCACTATCTCTTCAGCTATCGCCTTAAGAACTCAGGGGTATATAGTCCATCTGGTCCTGGTGATTTATCCACCTTCAGACCATTCATACTTTAGAACAGGGAGATTAAACATATCAAAAGGCCTTAACAAGGCTTTCTTTTCATACTTAAACCAAAGAAATTGCAACTTAGTTTATGCTTCCAAGTGCTGATAAAGAATACAACCAAGCAGTAAGAATACAATCAAGAATCAGACTGACAATATTCTTGTTAACAGCCACAAGAAAATCCTGTCCTGTCCTGTGTGAATTTTAGCTTAACACCTTTAGGAAAACTTAAAGTCAGAACCTAATGAGTTTAATCTCAAAATAAATATTCTAAAGTAACCTTATTCATAACTATATTAACTTCAAATTTTGTCTATGTAACAAAGTTGAAAATTGGTTCATTTTACATCGAAGTTTACTACAGAAACACAAAGTAATTAAATTATTTTCATGCAGTTAACTAGAAAATTTATCATAGTCAAGCAAGCATTCTGAAAAATCCTTTTTGAACAAGCATCCTCAGAAACTTACCTATAACATTATGCTTGGAGCTGAAAGGATCAACAATTGTTTGATCCCTGTAACTGCGGAAACCCTGGATAATCACCTAGAAGAAAAGAAGTGCAAATAACTTCAACTGTCAGTTTTATAAAACTAAACCCCACATTTACACCTTTACGTCAGCACCTCTTACCAATGAAGGAAACTTTTTCACATCAAAATCCTACCATAATCCCCATCCTACAGCAGAAAACAAAAAATATTACCCAGTCTAAACAGGGAATGACGTTAAAAATAAATTACATGGATTAATTACGATACTTTGTGCATATCTTGAAACCTGCAGTCAGGTTCCTTTTAAATTTAAAACATGTTACAGGCTCAAGTCTCATTCAGGTCTTCAAGGCCCAGATCTATAAAGTAATGCAAACACCTTAACTGCCAATGAATGAAAATGTTGTGCCAGATTCCGGGATGACAGCCTCGATGATGCATTGTTACAGCCATGTGGCCAAACATCACAGGACAGTGACTACGCACACAATATGTTCACTGAAGTCATTTTCATAGAATCCCTACAGTGTGGAAATAGGCCCTTCAGCCCAACAAGTCCACACTGACCCTCAGACCATCCCACCCAGACCTATCCCCCTGTAACCCACCTAATCTACACATCCCTGAACACTATGGTAAATTTGGCATGGCCAATCTACTTAGCCAGCACATCTTTGGACTGAGGGAGGAAACCCACGCAGACACAGGGAGAATGTGCAAACTCCACACAGACAGTTGCCAGAGGGTCGAATCGAACCGGGTCCCTGGCGCGACGAGGCAGCAGTGCTAACCACTGAGCCACCGTGCTGCCCGATAGAATCTGTAGGGATTCTATGATTCTGAATCTATGATTCAAGATTTTGATATAATGACCAACCATTAACAAACATATTAATATCTAGTGTTCAGAAGATCCTTGTTACATAGAAAACAGCTGTTTTGTTTAGTAGGTACCTTTTTCCCCACATCCTAAAGCACTTCTGAAATATAACACAGCAGTCATAAGTAATAATAACCAGATAATTTGTCTTTGAGATATTGAAGGATAAATATCAGCCTCACATTAACATCACTTTCAAAAAGATAACACCTCCCAAAGTATAACATCCCATCAGTTCAACACAACCCCAACACTTTTGCTCTCAAACATTAAAGTGGAAATTGAACCTACAACCTCTTAACCCAAGAGGCAAGACTGCTCGCTACTAAGCCATGCCTGACATAATTGGTATCCACTGCAAACATTACATCTGCCGCAGGCTTTACAGAAATGTGTATTATGTGAAACATCACCCTTGAATAAGTCTGAATGTTTTACTATCATGAATGTTTAATGCCATGATAAACTTCAGTTTTACAGCAGCAACCAATTAGGACCAAAATGTTGTTGGGATGTCATTATATAGCAAATAAGAAAACTTTGGGACAAACTGTCTTCAAAACCTAAAATAGCGACAAAATGGTACCCTTTGCTATCTCCAGATAGAAATTCTGCTGCTGAGGGGTCAGGATATAACTTTTGCTTTCCAAGTATTATTCTTCCTTTCAATAAACAATTGTTGTTGTTCCCACGAGCCCAGCCTTCCACAAACAGGAGATATGACTCTAAGATTGGACCTTGCAGATTAGACATAGCCATTAGCTGCAATTACCACAGTGAACTTGACGTGGACTACATTCCACATGTCCCATCACCTCCATGTAGCACAATGCAAACTTGAATCACAATAAATCCAAGATAGTAGGAACCGCAGATGCTGGAGAATCCGAGACAACAAGGTGCAGGGCTGGATGAACACAGCAGGCCAAGCAGCATCATAGGAGCAGACAGGCTGATGTTTCGGGCCTAGACCCTTCATCAGAAAAGGGGGAGGGGAAGGGGGTTCTGAAATAAATAGGGAGAGAGGGGGAGGCAGATAGAAGAGGGATAGAGGAGAGGATAGGTGGAGAGGAAACAAACAGGTCAAAGAGGCGGGGATGGAGCCAGTAAAGGTGAATGTAGGTGGGGAGTTAGGAAGGGGATAGGTCAGTCCAGGGAGGACGGACAAGTCAAGGGGACGGGATGAGGTTGGGTTAGGGTTAGGGTTAGGGTTAGGAGAACTTCCAATTCCCCGGTCCCCAACACCTCATCTTTACCAGGGACGTCCAGTCCCTCTACACCTGCATTCCCCATGCAGATGGCCTTAAGGCCCTCCGCTTCTTCCTGTCCCGCAGGCCCGACCAGTCCCCCTCCACTGATACCCTCATCCGCTTAGCCGAACTCGTCCTCACACTCAACAACTTCTCTTTCAATTCCTCCCACTTCCTACAGACAAAGGGGGTAGCCATGGGTACCCGCATGGGCCCAAGCTACGCCTGCCTCTTTGTAGGTTACGTGGAACAATCCCTCTTCCGT